AAATATTGTACTACTGTACTTAAAAGACTCAGTTCCGACACCCCAAATTAAATGTACTTGAGGAAGTCGCAATATAATGAATATATGATTCATTTCCGTCTCTCTATCTATACAACTAGTTGTTTATGAATTGTGAAAGACATGGACAGATTGTAGAGTGATTGCTAAAGAGGGCTTGATAGGATGGATTTATTTAAAAAAAAAAAGGTTAGACTTAAGCAAACATTAAAAGTAAGAAAAAGAAGACAACGTTTGCCCTCGCAGGTATATATACATATATGGCATATATGGAGTACATCTTCCTTTCATACATTTGTCAAATTTTTCAACACAAAACTTTGAAGCATTCAATAATCATTATTGAAATTCAACTTTCGGCTGTTAGGGTTTTACGTATTTTGGAAGGTTTAGGCCTAGAATCGGTTGTCCATTCGCAAGATGGACAACTGATTGTGGAATGTCGTTGCAGGCTGTAATTTCAATGTGTTTTTTCTTCCTTTGTACATTTTTCGGCTGTTGTTAGCCGTTTTCGAGCCAAATTAAAGAAGTTGCTTTGTTTTGTTTTGACTCCTTCTTGTAGAACATCAGCAGCAGCAGCAGCAACTCCAGCAGCAGCAGCAGCAGCAGAAACGACGACGCTTCCATCCGCTGCGGAATTTGCGTCGCATCTTTCGACGTCGCACCATCACTAGCGCAGACACTGGCGCAGCTGGCGGCGCTCAGGCAGGCGGAGCAGGAGCGGGCTTGGTTGCTGCACCTGGATCGGGATCGTGCAACACTTTGCCGCCACCGGCGAGCAGTTCCAGTGAGAAGAATTTGCGCAGCGTTGCGTTAGCAGAGACTGCGTCCGCATCCTCGCCAGCATCGCCGCTGACGCATCAGCAGCTCCACGAGAGCTATCAGACGCAATCGTTGCCCAAGTCCAAGTCCTATGGTGCCCATCGCGATGAGTTGCTGAGCGTGCTGCTGGGCAAGAAGAGAGGGGCTAGCAAGCATATGAACAGCAGCTTGGAGCAGCCAGTCCAACAGTCTCATAGCCACGCCCACAATACCAGCAACACCCACACCCAGTCGCACTCCCACTCGGACGCCATGTACCAAACGCAGCGACCACAAATGGGCGTGGCCGTCTTCCCGGATGCCATGAGCATGAGCCGCAGTGCGTATTTCGCCGAGAAGCAGCGCAGCCACCATCATCCGCGTCAGCTGCGCAGCGTTGGCGACTCCTCGCAGGATCTGGATCTGGCCGAGGACATGGGCGCCGCGGGCGGTGCAGCCGACATGTCCGACAGTCAGCGCAGTCTCAGCGAGGAGCGACTGCTGGACGTAGACGTGGACGGGTGAGTCACATCACTAGACAATCCTTCAAATGAGTAAGCATTTCTGACAGTTTCTTCTTCTTCTTGTTGTTCTTCTTCTTGTTCCAGCAGCAGTGGTTACACACGTGAAACTCTCTCCCAGTCCCATGACAGCGTTTTTTCCGAATCCGCTACAGCCAGCAGCCTTTCCATCGTGCTGAGGGTGAGTTCAATCAACTGCAGCATAGTTACTTCATTCG